CAGACAGCTGCGACTAATGTAGTCACTGCTAAGAGCAGACCAATACAAATGGGTCACTTTGACCAAAATGTTGGTTAGGTTGTATAGCAGCTTTCACAGCCAACAATCCTACGATTGGACTTGGAATTTTATACTACTTAATACCTATGTTTCGACCAGGGTCAATGGCGAGTTTAGCATGCTGTATGTGTACACATCACTTTAATTATTCTCTAGGTCCACCCCGCACTTAACTTCAGCCAAACCTCCCCCTTATCTGAAAAAATTTCGGGTTTACCTATTGGGTCTTCCAATATTACCAGGACTGGCCACCAGCACCGCCGGGTCCTCGGTCTTGGGATTACTGGATGTGAGTGTTATATGTGAATGTGTGGAGCTGGAGTACCACAGGGGGTGTCCGGCACAGTCCACCTCCCCTCCAGAAGACAGGTGGCGCCAACGCACCCCCCCAATCAACACATCAGGACCCTCAATGTCTAAGTGCAAGAGGGGCTGGGGGGAGACATCCGAGGTGAGGCCCATGTAATAAGCCCCCCCTGGTGTCCTTACCCCCCACCCCCCAGACAATGCCTTACATAGATATGTGATATGAAAATGTTGTAGTTGAAAGTGTCTAAAATGCAAAATAAATTGGGGTGGGGGATGTCAACAGAAGGTGGGACCCTCCAGTAACGACCCCCTCCCCAAGATCCTACATGTGTAACAGTGTGATGGAGCAGGCAGAGGGAGGAGTCTGGGGATGGGGAGAAAAGGACTGGAAAAGGATCCTCCTCCCATCACATAATAGGAAGAGATATTGTATCATCTAATTAAGTCAGTGTCCTGTATAGTTTAGACAGTATTTTTGGGAGGTTTAACTCTAGGAACTTACAACTCAAAAATAGCTTAAATTAGGTTTGCCTGACTAGGGAAGTTTATGCATCAGATATTTAGAAAAACGCTATAGTGTATCTGATTTTAACGTTTAACATTAAGCTATAACTGATCTCAGTGAAGCAGTTAGACGGCACTATTTGGACCTGATACAGACATCGTAGGACTAATCGACTAGGAGCCAACAGACTTTCTGAGGAGGTTTGAGTTTCTGATGTCTCTCTAGAAGTTGTTAGTTTGCTGTAATCAATTTCAAATCCCTGATAGTGTAGCTAAACCTCTTTGTAGCACATTGTTGTTGCTATGGCTATTTTGAGATGTTGTGGGAACTTTCAAGATGTATAAACCACTTTTATAGACACTGAAAGTGAACTCCGAGTGGTTCCTCCAGCTGTGCCCAGTTCACCCCTGATTAGTGTGGATGAAGGTACAGTTTGCAAAAACTCTTGGAAACACGGCTTTTGAAATGTGGGCATATTGTTTGCTGCAAGTTTCAGGATTTCTACCTAGTGGGATTTTCTCTATGAAAGTTCTATATTCTTTGTACTTGGGCCCCCTGGTGGGACCAATGACCCCCTTGCTTGGATACCTTGATATCAAACTATGTTGTGTAAATAATGAATGTTTCCTCTATAGAAATGTACAGAGTTCTGACCGAGAATATCAGAAATAGTTATTTTTCTTTGTTTTGCTGAAATGTTTCTTCCTGTTTTTTTTGTTTGTTCATTCAGATGTTGATGGTCGATGTCAACATGACCTTAAAGTGTCTCTGAAGAAGAAGTTTCAATGTGTCTCTGAAAGTGTTGGTAAAGCTGGAGAGAAAACCTTTCTGAATGAGATCTACACAGAGCTCTACATCACAGTGGGAAAGACTGCAGGGGTCATTTATGAGCATGAGGTCAGAAGGATTGAAGCAGCATCCTGGAAACAGAACAGATCAGGAACCAGAATCAGACCAGAAGACATCTTCAATCCACCTAGAAGAAGGGATCAGATCAGAAGCGTGATGACAATGGGCGTGGCTGGCATTGGGAAAACAGTCTTAACACAGAAGTTCACTCTAGATTGGGCTGAAGGAAGAACCAACCAGAACATCCAGTTCATATTTCCATTCACCTTCAGACAGCTGAATGTTCTGAAAACGAAAAAGTTGAGCTTGGTGGGACTGATTCATAAACACTTTAAGCCAATCAGAGATGCAGGGATCCACAGCTTTGAAGACTTCCAGGTTATTTTCATCCTAGATGGTCTGGATGAGAGTCGACTTTCTCTCAACAACAATAAGATCTTGACTGATGTTACAGAGTCCACCTCAGTGGATGTTCTGCTGACTAACCTCATCAACGGGAAACTGCTTCCCAAGGCTCTCCTCTGGATAACCACACGACCTGCAGCAGCCAATCAGATCAAAAATGAGTTCATTGACATGGTGACAGAGGTCAGAGGGTTCACCGACCCACAGAAGGAGGAGTACTTCAGGAAGAGGTTCATAGATGAAAAAAAGGCCAGCAGAATCATCTCCCACATTAAAAGATTAAAAAGTCTCTTCATCATGTGTCACATTCCCATTTTCTGCTGGATCACTGCTGATGTTCTAGAGGGTTTGTTGGAGACCAGAGATGGAGGAGAGCTGCCAAAGACCCTGACTGGGATGTACATCCACTTCCTGATGCTTCAGATGAAGCGTAAAATGATCAAGTATGATGGAAGACAGAAGACAAAGTCCCCATGGACTCCAGAGAACATCAAGATGGTTCAGTCCCTGGGAAAACTGGCCTTAGAGCAGCTGCTGGAAGGAAACCTGATCTTCTATAAACCAGACCTGGAAAAGTGTGGCATCAACATCAAAAATGCTTCATGGTTCTCAGGAGTGTTCACTGAGATCTTTAAAGAGGAGAGAGGGATGGACGACATCTCAGTCTACTGCTTTGTTCATCTGACCTTCCAGGAGTTTCTGGCTGCAGTCTACATGCTCCACTGCTTCACCAGCAGGAACACGGAGGTGGTGGAGAACTTCCTGGGAGAAGAATACAGAGAAACATCCCTAGAGGAATTCATGAAGAAAGTCATGGAGAAATCCTTCAGCAGTGAAAATGGCCACCTGGACCTGTTTGCTCGATTCCTTCATGGCCTCTTGGTGGAGTCCAACCAGAGCCTCTTAGGAGGCCTGCTGGGTCAGATGGAAATTGTTCTAGGAACCGTCATCAACAATCTGAAGGAGGTGAAAACTGATGAAGATGTTTCTCCTGATAGAAGCATCAACATCTTCCACTGTCGTCTGGAGATTCAGGACCTCTCAGTTTATCAGGAGATCCAACAGCTCCTGAAATCAGGGAAGTACCTCTCAGAGATCCAGTGCTCAGCTCTGGCCTACATGCTGCAGATGTCAGAGGAGGTTCTGGATGAGTTGGACCTCGAGAAGTACAACACATCAGATGGTGGACGACATAGACTGGTTCCAGCTGTGAGGAACTGTAGAAAGGCTAGGTGAGTCCAGATGTCCCTATTGGGTCTATTGTCCTCCTGGTTGTGATATTTTACCAGTAGATTATGATGATATTACTAACTAGAGCTGGAAGTTGTTGCTAATTAATATGTCATTCAAAATCAAAGCTAAAGTTGGAGTTGGAAAAGTGATCCTCCACCTTACTTTTGTGGTGGTGTTTGGCCTACTTGATTCCCTTTTTCAGCTCAGCCCTGGCTGCCCTGTAGTACTGTGCATCCCCTGACCTGAACGCAATGTTGTGGGCCTTCAGCAGGAGACGAACATCTCTGTTCATCCACGGTTTCTGGTTGGGGTACATGGTGATGCGTTTGTGTGTGGTTACACAGTCAATGGTGGTGGAGATGTGCTCCAGTATAGATGAGGCGTACTGATCCAAATCTGTGTGGTGGACAATATTCCAATCTGTATTCCTGAACCGTTTATGGAGCACATTATCTGAGCCCTTTGACCACATCTCTACTGTCCTCACAGTAGGTTTCACATGTTGGATGATTGGTGAGTACCGAGGTGTGAGGAACAGGGAGAGATGGTCTGATTGTCCGATGTGGGGGATGGGTGTCGCCTTGTAAGCTCCAGCCAGATTGGAGTAGACATGGTCCAGGGTCTTGTCTCCTCTGGTGTGGCAGGAGACATGTTGGTGGAATCTGGGGAGGACTGTCTTGAAGTTAGAGTGGTTGAAGTTACATTGAAAATCATGACATTTGAGTCCATAATTTGTCTGTCATTCGTGAAAAAATTCGTAAAATTGTAACTCGTCCATTTTATTGGCAAGAGAACGGACATTGGTGAGGAAAATGATGTGTAAAGGGAGCCGGTGTGGTGTTAGCTTTAGCCTACCTCGCACCCCTCCACACTTACCCCGCTTTTGTTTACGATCTCGTCGCAGCCTAACTGCACTTCCGCCCAGCCAGGAGATGTGCTCAGCCTCCCGTGTTCTGGAAATCTCTGGGATGAGTCAGGGATCGGCGATAACAGTGTCAACATTGTAGCTCCAAAGGTCCAGAAACTCATGTCTGCTATACCACAGCAACGTCGTACAGTTTTTGAAAAAAAGTCAGGTGAGAAATTGATAAAAACTAAATAGCAGGTCCTTGCGTGAGGCTGAGCCTCACGTTGTTCACACACTGCCATCTTACATATATAATATATTTAATCTCACATGTATACTGTTGTAGCTGTGGTAGCTCGATAATATCTATAATTTCCTTTTCTCTAACTGCAGTGGGAATTATTGAATGATTTCTGATGATTATTGTTTCATTCAGAGCTCCAGTATGATCCAATAGGATCCAGGATTTCTTTTCTGCCAGTTTGGGTCCCAAACTCAATCATTTATTGAAATTATGAACAACATTATTGTCCTCAACATTGTTGCTATTATTAGAATTGTCTTGATAAAATGATCTAAAACATTCCAAATCCCTTTGATATTTTTTCGTATTTCTATCTAATGATTTATTGTAATAATCCTGTTTGGGTAGATTTTTGCAGGCATATTGTAAACCCATTGTCATCGATGGTGTTTCTGAGTATTTGTTTTTATGAGTGAATAGTATTAACAAACATTTTTTATCATATAATACTTAACAGATATATTTAGAAAATTATCATATGCCTTATCTAAATTAACTTCTTGCAAAACAGACTTTCAGTTACGTTTCAATAAGTCCTCTTTGATGTTGTTACTCTTTTAAACTGCGGATCCTTATTTTTAAAATAAGAAATTGTCGCTGACAACAAAGACTGGAAGATGATCACTAATATGCTGAGCTATTAATCCAATTAATTTATTGTTATCTAAGATATTAGTAAATATATTATCTATTAATGTTGCACTGTTAATTCTGATGCTGCTGGGTCTAGTGATCTTGGGGAAAAGGCTCAAACTGTACATAGTATTAATGAACTCTTCTGTAGATGATTATTTGAGTTAAGTATATTAAAGTCCCCACAGAAGACCTTCTGAGAGGTAACTCAAACCATTCTGTAAATATAGTGGAACCAGGAGCTCTGCATATACAACTAACAATTACATTTTCTGATTTTTCCATAAATATTTCAACTGTTAAACACTCAAATCCATCTTTAGCTTGCTGGCCATGTTTTCTCCTATTTTCTACTTCAAGTTTGTATCAACATACACAGCTACTCCTCCCCCAGTTTTACCTTCTCTAATGATGTAATTGAACTCAAAACCCTTCAGCTCAAAATCTCCAAAAGCCCCTTTCTCATGAGTGATCCAGGTTTCAGAGATGGCTATGATGCTGAATGGCTGTTAAAACTGGCCCAGACAGTCTTCTATGTTGTTGAAGTTTACATATAAAATTTTGCTGTTGAAATATATAATATAAAATTTAGTATCTACTTGAAATGTGCTGTTGAATTGATTG